GGGTTTAGGCTTAGGGTTTAGGGGTTTAGGGTTTAGGGTCTAGGTTTTGTGACTTAGGTTTGGGTTTCAAGATTTTGCATAGTTGCAACGATTGGTTCCAGCGTTTTGAAAGGAATTACGGCTCGTCCTTGGGTGTCGATTTTCTGCGGGTTTAGGGTGTCGGGTTTCGAGTTTAGGGTTTGGGGTCAAAAAGTGCTTTTTTGCGAAGCTCTACAGGGTTTATTGCTCTGAGAGTTCCGTTAGGCTTCAGTTGTCATCAAGTCATAAAGGAGCAGTGATGGGATTTAGTGAACCCCTTCCCTTAGTAAGGCATAGAATAGGGATCATGAGTTGATAAATCAGAAAATATACTACCTATAGTCTCCCATTGTATTTCCTTTTTGGGTTGCCTTATAGCGTCCTAAATATATAAGTGGTGAATCCAAAAAGAGGAACTACAACAGAGACTCTATGTATATGCAGGAACAGGAGCGCTAAGTTTTGACCTGTCGCTGTTCAGGCCGATACTCGGGAGCTTGAATATAGGCGAAACCGGTGCTATGAAGGTTTTGCAGGCGCGATGTAGGATTGTAAGGACCGTAATTCGTGCTTCCATGATAAGGAAAGCTTTGCTATTTGCTGCATACCCACCCCCAGACTGCGAACTTAGATGTGAGCTTGTGGACCACCACCCCACTCGGCCAAACTCGAAATGTAGGCTGCACACCCGGCTTCATAGACACCGCCATCGTGAAGGGCTGGGGCGCCACGAAGACACCCGAGGCGACAGCTCCCGCGGTCTGTGTTTTCGGGTTCAGGATTCGGTGTTTCGGGTTCGAGGGTTTCTTTAGGTTTAGGGTTTAGGGTTTGTGTAGGGTTCGAGGCTTTCTTTAGGTTTAGGGTTTAGGGTTTAGGTAGGGTTCGAGGGTTTCTTTACAACGAGGTTTTGGTGAGGTATCACGACTCGTGCTCTGCCGAGTCATTCTAGTATCTAAGGTTGGAAGTATGGGCCCCTAATATGGACCCTTAGGCCTTTCTAGGGACCTTTAAGGGAACATATAGGGTATATGTAGGTGTATAAGGATCCCAGGGTTAAGGGCCCATACTAGGGGCCCATGCTTTGAACCGTAGATAGTAGATGGGCACACCACATGACCTACAAAGCCAGGTTTCAGTCCGGAGTCCTCGATCTCGAAGCCCTTAGTGCATGCCAGCATCGATCTGGATAGGAGGGGACCGTCTCTATCCGGCACTGCCTGCTGAAGCCATTGGACGGCAACGGGTGCCTTGGGTTGAGTTTTTGGGGTTTAGGGTTTAGGGTTGGGGGGGGTATGTCTCCGGATCCGAGATGCTGCTCGCTTTTTCGCGGGCTAACGGTTACGGCTGGAGATCCAACAGTTGCGGTGTCAAAAGCCTTTCAGTTTGTGGGGTTTAGGGGTGCAGAGCTTCACGCGATTTGCATGCGAGGATTGTGGGCTCCATGGCTTCAGGGGATTTTGGCCGATTTTGGCAGAGGCCCATGGTGTGCAAAGATCACGGCCCAACGTACCAATAAACACAATGGATAACCTGAGGCCTTCTTTTTGGGTTTGGGTTTAGGGTTTAGGGTTTAGGGTTTAGGGTTTAGGGTTTAGGGTTTAGGGCGGCTTAAGATCGGGTTCCCTAAAGGGTTCTGTAAAGGTTTCGTGTAGGCCCATAACTTAATAATTAGAATAGGGTTCCTTTAAAGGGTTGCTATAAAGGGTTCCTTAAAGGGTTCTATAAAGGTGTAGTTTTGGGGTGTTAAGAAGTAGAATACGGTTTTGGGGTATAGTCTACTATAAATATAATAAGGACCCCCCCAACATAGTATTGGTAATTATTTAGGCCCCTACATTAGGGTCTGAAACCTAGAATTTCTGCTTGCACCCCCAAAAGGAAACTGAAGCCTCAGCGGGCCGTAAGCCTTGAACACTAGGAAGTCAGGACTCCCGCACCGCTGGCAACCCTAAGCCTTCATCGCTCTCTATTCTAAGTACTTCCCGACCTGCACCCGAACACCCTGCTAAACCCTAAACCCTGAAGAGAACCTTGCACCCTAAGGAATGGACATTAAGTTCTAGGACCCTAAACCCTAAACCCTGAACCCGTCATACAGGGTACGTTGCTCGATCTAGAAGGGTTTTGGAGTCTTAATTCCGAACCTCTGTAGGGATTCCTTACAGGTGGGGGGCGGTTAGTTTGGGGTTTAGGGCTGTAGGGTTTAGGGTTCAGGGTTTAGGGTTAAGGTGAGTTTTATAACTTATAACTATATGGACCCCAAACTGAGGCATTTCTGCCGTATTCCTAAATCCCGCAAGCCCCTGAAGGCTACGCAGAGACCCCTTGCCCAGGTACTACTACGGCTCTGATGCTATCCGGTCTCCGTACCACTTCATGCGAAACCCAGGGGAGCCGGTGTACGACGGCAAGATCCCCTTCTGAGTGCGGATTTGGATTGGGATTGGTGTCAGGTTCCGCCGGATTGGCGGCCATAGAATAAGAATACAGTTAGTTCCCTGTAAAGGGTTTAGGGTTTAGGGTTTAGGGTTTAGGCTCCCTTGTCGGGTCTTTTTATAAGGGTGCCGTACTACATTGGGGACCTAAAAAGGGAACCTAGTTTCGAGAACTCCAAGCGCTTTCTTTGGGGGCTAGGAGGTTCGAAGAGGTTCTTCTCCTAGGGGTGTTGTATTCATTTTGGTGGGTCCTTACTGTCGACGAAGGATCTTAGGGTTTAGGGTTTAGGGGTATTTAGGGTTTAGGGTTTAGGAAGCTGTCGGATGTCTTCCCGAGCCACTCCGAACAGGTGGAAAGGCAATTTTTCCCATCCCGGCGGGAGTCCGAAAGAGCACATCGACGGTCGGAGCCTGCCGTACTCCGCTCTTTCATCACCTTCAGGTTCCACTTGATATATTACATGGGACAACTTTACGGTTTAGGGTGACAGGGCTATAAACTGCGAAACCTGGTAAAGCCCCATACTAAACCGCATACCAAGTCCTATGCTCAGCTCTACACTCTCCACAGTACCGTCATAGCACATCGACCCAAACCCAAAACCCTATATCAACACATAGACACTAAACCCTAGGCCAAAAGACCCTAAACCCTAAACCTTAGACCCTAAACGCTAAACCCCTAAATCCTATGAAAGCCGCAGGGGTATCCACAATCCACATAGACCCATAGGGGCCGCATTGCCCGGAGCCATGGGAAGCTTCCAACCCTAGACCCTAAACCCTAAAACCCTAAAGCGATAAACCCTAAACCCTATAGGGTTTAGGGTTTTAGGGTTTAGGTATAAATCCTAAACCCCCGAAACCCTAAACCCCTAAACCCTAAACCGTGCTCACGACGACCCTGCGGGCCGACCCTCGACCCATGGCTTTACAAAAGTGGCTGTCGCAGGGCTCCGTTAAAGGGATCTATAAGGACATCTATAGAAATATAGCGTTTAGGGGTTTAGGGGATATAGGGGTTTAGGGTTTAATTAGGGCTTAGGGGGTTTAGGGGGTTTAGGGTTTAGTATTCATAGGGTTTGCATAAGGGTATCTATAGGACCACCGGGTTTCTAGAAGGGTATCTGTAGGGCTGTAGGGTTTCTTGAAGGGTACTAAAAGGTCAATTCTTCAATTTAGGGCCAAGTTTAGTCCAACGGCCGAATACTCGGGTTCAGGATAGTAGGAAGTTCTACTATTTAGAGGGAGCAATTTAGGTTTAGGGTTTAGGGTTCAAGCTCACTTCAGCGATTGGGTTTCGGGTTAGACCCTCAACTCCAAGCCCAGATTCCTCAAGGGCACACATTTGTCCAGCAGTTTTCCGGGTGAACAAATAACTAGAGATTCTCAGCAAATAGAGGCTTCTAGAAACAAAACCCTTGAAAATAGCGCCTCCTATAAGCAAAAACCGCAAGAAGTTACTATCAAAACCCTGATCCTAAGAGACCCCTCCGGCGCTTGGGCCTGCTGATGCGGATATCGGGGGTTCGCAGACACCAGGTTTGGGAAGCAGGAACGGAATCTAAAGCTACAGCCCTAAAGTTTGGGGGTTAGGGGTTTAGGGTTTAGGGTAAACCCTTCACCCTCTACAGCTCTAAAGTTTAGGGTTTAGGGGTTCGGGGTTTAGGGTAAGCCCTATAAGCCCGAAGTAGCACTCGGGCTTGGCGTTGTAGGGTCGATCGTCTATAGCACCTTCACGAGTGCGCGAGCGAGGCAACTTCAGGCTTGAGACTTTAATATGGCAGTCCGAAAACAAGGGGTACCTTCTTTTGGGGTCCTTATAATAGGGATCCTACTATTTAGGGTGCTGTATTAGGGTCCCCCATTTTTTGGGAAACCCCATATGAAGAATTACTAATATCATTCCTGAACGCTCCATCGTCTCTATACCCTAAACCCTGAACCCTTAACCCTAAACCCCAAATAATGTGCCCTTAGCCCAAGCCTTAGCCCTAAACCCTAAATAATGTACCCATCCTGACCCCTAAGCCCTACTCTGATTAATTATTAAGGCCCCTATATGAAACCTTAAGCCCTAAACCCTAAACTTAAGTCTCATAAGGCTCCCATATTAAATCGTGAACCCTAAACCCTACACTTAGGTCTTATAAGGCCCCTATATTAAACCCCCTAAACCCTAAAGCCTAAAACCCGAAACCCTGAACCCTAAACTCATAAGGCCCCTATATCAAACCCTAAGCCCTAAACCCGAATTCTCGTAAGGACCGTATATTAAACCCTAAGCCCTAAAACCCAAGTCTTATAAGGCCCCTACATTAAACCCTAAGCCCTAAACTTAATTCTTGCAAGACCCCTATCCCCTATAGTAAACCTTAGACCCTAAACCCTAAACTTAAGTCGTAAGGCCCCTACATTAAACCCTAAACCTTAAACCTAATTCTTGCCAAAAGGCAAGAAAAAAACATAAACAACTAATTCTTGTAAGGCCCCTACATAACCCCTGAGCCCTAAACCTAATTCTGGTAAGGCCCCCAGACTACCCAGGTCCGGGAGGCAAGTCCTGGGGGCCTGCTCTTTGCTACTCGGTATGACTCGGTTTCAGAGCCTTTGGGTTGAGGGGATAGGGCTTAGGGATACCCCAAACCTAATGGTTTAGGGTTTTAGGGTTCAGGGTTTAGGATTTAGGGCTTAGGGATACCCTAAACCTAAGGGTTTAGGGTTTTAGGGTCTTAGATTTAGGGTTTAGGGATACCCTGAACCTAAGGATTTAGGGTTTTAGGTTTTAGGGTTTCGGGGTTTAGGGTTCAGGGTTTAGGATTTAGGGTTTAGGGATCAGGGGTTTGGGGTTTCGGGTTTCGGGTTTAGAGTTCAGGGTTTAGGGTTCAGGATGGAGAGCCTAAGGGCCGAAATTGCAAGGGACCCTATTTTAGAGAACTACCCAAACAGTAGCCTTTGAGAAACCCCATAGATACCCTTTGTAGATCCTTTGAAGGAGCCATAAATGGGACCCTAAGACCCAAACATGGGACGTCATGGCTAGAAAGGAATTTTGGGGTATACTACAGCTTGCATTCCCCACAAGCATACCAATTTCTTTTGGGTTTCTCCTAGAGATTTCCTAACCCTAAAACCTATTAAATCCTAACCTCTAAACCCTAAACTCTAAACCCCAAAGCCCAATAAACCCTAAACCCGAAATCCTAAACTCTAAACCCTGAGCCCTGAACCCTAAGCCCTTATTCTAGGACCCGAAAGCGGCAGGTTTGCAGGTGGATTCGCGCAGACCCCAAACACCGAACCCATGACCCTAAACGCTTGCGGGTTGGGGTTCAGATTTTGGGTTTGGGGTTCAGGGTTCGGGGTTCAGATTTTAGATTTGGGGTTTGGGGTTCAGGGTTCGGGGTTCAGATTTTAGATTTTGGGGTTTAGGGTTCAGGGTTCGGGGTTCAGATTTTAGATTTGGGGTTTAGGGTTCAGGGTTTGGGGTTCAGATTTTAGATTTGGGGTTTAGGGTTCAGGGTTTGGGGCTCAGATTTTAGATTTGGGGTTTAGGGTTCAGGGTTTGGGGTTGGTTTGGGGTTCAGATTTTAAGTTTGGGGGTTTAGGGTTCAGGGTTCAGATTTTAGATTTGGGGTTTAGGGTTCAGGGCTCGGGGTTCAGATTTTAGATTTGGGGTTTAGGGTTCGGGGTTCAGGTTTTAGATTTGGGGTTTCGAGTTTAGGGTTCAGGGTCGGGGTTGAGATTTTAGATTTGGGGTTTAGGGTTCAGCGTCCGGGGTTCAGATTGTAGATTTGGGATTTAGGGTTCAGGGTTCTGGGTTCAGGCACCAGAACCACCCCAAAGCCTAGCTGAACGAACACCTCGCGACACCCCGAAGCCCGATGCATCCCAAAGCCAAAGCCAGCCTTGAAGACGCTTCAGGGTTTAAGCTGGAGGGCTTCAGGGTTTTAGGGTTTAGGGCTTTAGGGTCTTAGGGTTTTAGGGTCTAGGGGTTTAGGGGTTTTAGGGGTTTAGGGTTTAGGGGTTTTAGGGTTTAGGGTTTAGGGGTTTACGCCTTATGGTTTAGGGGTTTTAGTTTAGGGTTTAGGGTTCGCTCGAAAGTCTTTCACCCTTTTCTCCCTAAGCCTAAGCCCTCGACCCTTCAGCGCAAGAGCTCTGAACCTTTAGGGTTTATGGTTTAGAATAATTAGAACAGGGTTCCTTTATAGGGTTACTATAAAGGGTTGCTTGAAAGGTTCTATAAGGGTTTGGTGTAGGGGCCTTGATAATTAGAACCGGGTTTTGGTGTATAGTATACTATAGTTATATTAAGGAACCATCCAAAATAGTATAGGTAATTATTAAGGCCCCTACATCAGTGTTTAGGGTTAGTAGTCTGGTCTTAACTCGAGAATGCGAGTCTCCCCAACCCTCAGCCCGGGATCCTGGCTTAGGGTTTAGGGTTTTAGGGTTTAGGGTTTAGGTTTTAGGGCTTTAGGGTTTCAGGGTTTTAGGGTTTAGGGTGTAGGGTTTACGGTTTTTAGAGGTTTTAGGGTTTCCGGGGTTTAGGCTTTTAAGCTTTATAGGGCCGAAAGGAGAGCACCTTTAACTGACCCGCAGTGAAATCCTCAAGCCACAAAACCCCTCAACACTACACCCCTAAACCCCTAAACCCCTAAACCCCTGAACCCTGAACCCTAAACCCCTAAACCCCTAAACCCCTGAACCCTAAACTCCGAAGCCCTAACCCTCAACCTGAAGGAATACCTTTCCTTGGCTCACCTGGCTGTACGACTCGGACCAGTTCTCTTCGTGCACGGCGGGCTTCCACGGTCGTAACCTGGCTGGGGCTGTGTGTTTTTAGCTTTGAGCGTTTGGGCCTCAGGGTTTCGGATTTTTCGATGGTTTCAGGAGTTATTTCAGGCTTAGCTAGGTGGTCCGGAAGCCCTTACCATTGACCATGGATCCATCGCTTGAACTTCGAACCCTAAACCCGAATCCCCAAACCCAAGGCCCCGAAGCCCCGTAACCACACAACATGTCAGACGCCCAGATTGCATTCACCATGATCCTGCGCACCCTCATTGGAGTGCATTCATGGACAATCATCCCGTTCTACATGAACGAGATTGCCAGAAACAGCGTACACATACCTCAAAATGTGAGTCTTTGCAGCTATGTCATCGCGACATGTCACGGTGTAAAGATCACTGATGCAGTATTCGGATGGTTCGCTGCACCTTCAGCCACACACTGGCCACCAGGACAAAAGATGGAGTCCATCAAGGAGACGATCGTAAGGAAGAGCTTACCACCCGTCAAGTGGGACGACATTCTTCCGGACTTCTTCTCCAATGACGAGAAAGCTCGTGAAGAATACAAGGCACGGGGCAAGAAACGTATGCTCTTCACCTGATTTGCCCTTCGTAGCTTTGGCCCATTTGCACCGATTTTATCCACTGGCCCTGCACAAACGTGCAGCGATTTGGACTTGGCGGCTTCGTCGCCTTTGTGTCGCAGGCGGGTCTCAGACCCATGCAAGATCCGTGCATTTTAATCCAGTACGAAACGCTGACGAACTGTAGATCCCCAAGCCGCTCAAGGCAAGCATTCCAAAACCCTCAACTCCTTATCTGACTCTCACAACACACTTACAGAATCCGTATTGAGTCGCAAGCAGAATCCTTGTAGAGCGACCCCAGAACCGTTATATAAACCTGGACAGAACACCATAAAACCGCAAAGCAAACCCTAAACCCTAAACCCTAAACCCAGCAAATCCTCTTAGTATCTCTTAGTGCATCCTGGGGCCGAAACCCTAAGAACGATAAAGCCTTAACCCCCTAAAACCCAAAGACCCTACACCCTAAACCCTAAACCTTAAACCCTAAACCCCCAAACCCGATACCCTGAACCCTAAACCCCAGAACCTCTAAACCCTAACCCCGAACTCTAAACCCTACGCCGTGCAACCGAGGGACGTCACCTGGCGGCCTGGGTGGCTCCCTCCTCGCGGCGAGGCTTTCTGGCTTTATGAACGGCTGAGGGTTGAAGTTTAGGATTTTTCAGCGCGCAGAAATATGCTGGTTGCGCAAGCCGAAATTCGCATGAAGTTTAGGGTTTGGGGCTAAGGCGAGTATAGAAGATTGAATGTAATATTCAGGCCTCTATACTAGGATGAAGTGTTTAGGGTTTAGGCTTGCTTTGAGGTTGCAGGGTTTCGGGTTTCGGGCTCAGGGTTTATGATTTGGGGGCATGCGTGGTTTTCTAGCATGCTGTGATATGTACATATTACATACTTATAGTGGCTTGCTACGGTACGTTGCAGCATCGGATTCCTCGTGTACATTTCATATTATCCTACGATGTTTTATTTTGAACTTTAAGACCGTGTAAAGTTATTCGTTATGCAAGGTTAGGCTGGGGTATTAGGTTATTCAAAGTCCGTGGATGCATTTTTGAATCACTTTCTTACGTGAGAACTCGGTTCATACTTTATTGCGGTATGTCATGTAGCATTATGCGTGGATAAACTATTCTATGACGTTGCATGGCATGGCATGGCATGTCGCGATCTGTGCTGTTATGCTGTGATGCTGTATAGCATCTTACGATGTGACATGGTATGCATTGGTATGCTATGGAATCCGATGTTTTGCCATGTTATGGTATTCTATGCGTTGCCTTTCTATGCTGTGGTGTTAATACCTGTGAACAGGTAGGCCATGCCACGTATGTTTTCCGTTCTTGATTGTTGACCAAGTTTGTGAGAAGCCGTACATGTTTGGCACGCATGCCATCGAGAGACACGTTGTGAACCTTCTCAGAGCCCGTCATACAATCACCCTGTTTGCAATGTTTGCAATTGGAAACAGTATAAAAACCGTAGAAGCCCATGTGTGTAAACATATATTCTCACCCTAAGGCTCAAAATAGCCCAAAAGCCTCATATAGTATGGTCTTTGGGCCCTAAAGCCTAAAAATATGAGTCCTTAGAGCCTTATAGGGTCAGATACTCTAAACCTCCAGCCCCCAACCCTACGCCCCCAGCCCAAAACTTCCATTCCAGCAGAGGTCCTACCGGATCTCAATTCCTGGCTCTTCGGTCTCGAGGCCGGTTCCCACAGACGAGGTTTCCCTTTCCCGGTTTAGGTTTTAGGGTTTAGGTTTTAGGGTTTAGGGTTTAGGGTTTAGGGTTTAGGGGTGTCTGTAAGGTAGTTGGCCAGGGCACAAAACCGACGAAATCGGAAGGCTTGCAGGTAGGGCCTTGATAGTTGGAATAGGATTCCTTTAAAGGGTTACTATAAAGGGTGTTTTAAAGGGTTCTATAAGGGCGGCTTAGTGTCGGGGCCTTAATGATTGGAATAGGATTGAGTAGGATTACTTTTGGGGGTTCCTATTCAGGGTTTTGCTTTGACCGAGACTAGACTCATATGGTTAGCAGAGGGTCCTGAGTATTTCGGTTAGGGGTGTAGCGGTTTTGTGTGCAGCGGTTTTAGGCCCTTCTCTAGCAATAAGAAGGTTGAGGGTTTGGGGGCTCACTATAGTGTCTCTCTATATATATACACATGTATATATATATATATAGATATATATATATATAGATATATATTATACATATGTATATATATATATATGTATATATTATGGGCTGTACTGCGACCTAATTGTCACTAATCGCTCCAGGAAGGGAGGTGCTGTGGTCTAGGTTTCGCGGGGATAAGGGAGGTTTCAAGTGGCTTAGGGTTTAGGGTTTAGGTGGCTTAGGGAGTTGTTGTTGTTTCGGGGTTGGTTCAGGATAATAGGGCTTTCGGTGAGGGCCTCCAAGATGAGTTCTGAGCATTTCAGTTTCGGGCCTCGTACTACAATCCCATAAACCCATCACAAACCCTGTCAAAACCGCGGCGGCCCTCAAACTAAGGCTTAAACGGTTTCCAGAGGCTTTGGCTTGTCTTGGCTTGGCAGGTTCAGTGCTCAAGAGCTTCGTTTAGATTAGAAACTACAGAAGCACAACAGTAGGCTAGTGACTCTAGGGCGTAAGGGTTTGGCGGCTTAGCGGCCAACCAAAGCTTATAAGCATAAAGTACCAAAATCCACCACCCCTTCATGTTACACTCCGGATTTTTAGTGTAGTGGTTTTGATTTCGTCAGGTTTCGGATTTCGATCATTGGGATATTTTGCTAAAATCTCATGCAGGTTTTAGGGTGTTCACTCGATCTGTGAATCTGACGACGAGAGCCTTAAGTTTCCAATGACTAGGATCCATATTATGAAATGCTCTAACTTTTAGCCGTAAACTCTAAACCCCAATCATCAAGTATTTCCGCTGTCAGCTGCAAAGATATCCCGACTCGAGTTCCATGGGCAGTGCGTGCGTAAGTTTAGTGTTCAGGATTTAGGGTCACGGGTTTAGGGTGTAGGGTTTAGGATTAGAGTTTAGGGGTTAGGGGTTTAGGGGTTTACGATCTAAGGTTTAGTGTGCTACCCTAGACCTAAGCCCTTTGACTGTTCAGGCCTTCAAGAACAAAGCTCTGGACCAGGCAGCTTGTCCCAGAGCGATTCGAGAAATGGCATATTGTAGGGCTCAGAGGAATTGCTAGTAATCTCCTTATCCCCTTATGGTTCTCTTAGGACTATAACACTATAACATATCCCAGACCCATATTCTAATTATTAAGGCCGCTATATTCGCCCTAAACCCTAAACCCTAAACCCTAAACCCTAAACCCTAAACCCTAAACCCTAAACCCTAAACCCATGCAGCGTCGTGGCACTAAGCGGATTTTATGGGGGACCGGGGGTCGGGGAGCTTCCGTTGACAATCGGATCCTCAAACGGTTTAGGGTTTAGGGT